GGTAAGATACTTTGATCGTTTTTTTTTTAACTATTTATCTGTATAGAAAATTCTATATTTGCGTCTATTCATGTATCTTTACTGTTGCAGCCAGGGAAACATCTAACTGGTAAGTATATTGAGATGAAATATAAACATAAGTTTATGAGGCTTATAAAATCATAGCCGTGCTTAACATGATTAATTAATGCTTCGTATATGGTGAAACAATTGTTTGAAATGTTTTATTTAAGTGGCATACATGTTTATTTTGAAAAGGCAGTATCTATGTATACCAATCCATACTCCTAGCCCCTTCACCTATAATATCTGCTCAGATTGACAAAAATAAGTAACATCTTTATTCTTAATTTAGGAAAATGTGGGTCATTATTTGACTGTCTGAAAAGCAGTACTGTGAGAGGTTAATGAATGAGCCAACCGTGGTGTAATTATGTTTGAGGACTGATGGAAATAAGCCAATTAGAATATTGCACTACAGGGGAAACCAACAACTGGGAAACCTGAAACCTAGATATCAGTGTAGGTTTGTTATTGACTACTCTGGTTACTGCCATTCCTTAATTTTCTAGTTTTCTCAAGTATAAAATTAAGATGTTTGGATAGGTGGTCTCCAATAACTTCTCTGTCCCAAAACTTTAGAGTTCAAATTTAAATGCAAACACACGCAACAATGATTGCTTTCCTAGTTGAAATCATCACTTACCATAAATTTCTTTTGTTTTCCAGCTTCTACATTGGATTCTTCCCAGTGCTCTGCAGAGAAGAATTTAGTTAACTTGTGAGTTTTGCTTGTGAGAATGCAAATTAGATACATCATGAAAAGATAATTTAAGTAATTAAACAAATATGAGCTTTTAAATTACTGAAGCAAATTGGACAATTTCAAGAAGTTATTTATATTGAATATCAAATTAATATGGAAGAAGTTAAACTTTGGCCAATGCCTTACTTATTAAGTGTTGCATTTTGGAATTCCATGGGGCAAATCAAACCAGATTTTCAAAACTGAAGATTAGTTTCTTATCAGTAACAACTATGTGTGAATTCAGGAACTTTTCTTACTATTATCAATGGGAAGATATTGTAATGTTCTGTATTCTATATTATGTATTTTGTTATTTAACAGCAAACCACAGGAGATAAAATATTCTGATTTTTGCTAAATGTGGAGAGCACATTATTCTCTTGAATGTTGCCTCTATTGCACTCTTGAAATTTCTAGTAAGAAAAGGTGTGTGTTGCTGGTGATGATCGCATGCAGAAATCTGGACAAACATCATTTTGAGTCAATCTGGGAGCACCTCGATCTCAGATCAAACTTAATCAAGCTGGGAGGTCAATATAACTTAGGTCTAACGACCAAGTTAAGAAAGCAAGGGATACTGTAAAAGACTATAGAGATTCCCAGTTATGAGTGTAGCATTACAGTGAGAAGGTGACCAAACAAAAGAGGAGGAATCACACTTTTGGGAAACCCATTTCTTTTTGGACCTTTAACAATTGCATCTATATTTATGAGGGAAGATTTAAAAAAAATAAAAATGGCTGACATTTCTTTCTGAATGACCAGAACCTAATTTTGCATAACTTTTTAGCAAAGGTCACCTGCTAAACAAATCAGAATATAAACAGTTAAAAGTAGAAGATGTGCTTGAGAGGACTCTGTGATGCATCCAGCCTCGATCATCTGCATATACTTTGTTTCAGAGCGACCATACTCTTTTCCCAGTTTGTTCAAGAAGCCACTTACACAGAAGTGAGCAAAATGACAAACGATGCAATGACTGCACTTAAGAAACTCACTGGTGGTGAGCAACAAGGAGGTTGTTTAGAAAACCAGGTGGGTGAATAAGAAGTCACTTTGTAGCTTCATCAGAATGTAGGCTGCAGAAGATGCAGGGAAGGCATGCACCCAAATATTTGAAAACCTTTATGTCACAGAAGGATTAGTTAATTCTGAAATCCTGAAGAACACTGTTGAAAAACAGATAGCCATATAAAAAGCCAGTATTAGCCTGGTGACTAGGAGCTACGTTGCAGAGTAAAATTATCTGGGTGGTCATGGACACATTCACTTCTTTGAGCTTTCTTACCTATAGCATACAGATGAGATTAAACTCAATTCAGGGTTGTCTAGGAGATTATGTAGTAATAAAGTGTAGCAGTTCATTTCCTTATAAACACACAATGTGGCTGATATCATCCTAGGGCATTGCTAATCAAATTATGGCATGGAAGACAGTATCACCAATCAGAACACTTGCCGAGGGAATTGAGAGAACTTGGCTGTGGTTTATCAGCAGAATATCCGTTTAATTTATAAATGTTAATTTATTAAATCTTTATAATAATCCTATGAGATTGAGGATAATTTTCCAGGGAAGGATACTTAGGCCCAGAGAAGTTAAAGTCACTTTCTTAAGGACATTACGGTTTGGCAGAAGCAGGAATTAAATGATACCATCTAGTTCCAGACCTAAACTCTTCAGCAACTTCATTACACTGTTCCCGTACCACAGGGAACACAAACTTTACAGCTCATTATTAGGGCTGTCAGATTCAGAAAACCTACAGGATCATGAAAATATAATACCCATAAAAATGTAATTATAATATAATAATTAAGTTAGAATTTCAGATAATCAGTTTTTAATGTCTACAGTTGTGCTGATGTTGAAGCATAATACGGAGTAGTTATTACTTTTTATTTTATTTTAGTTTAGAAATGAACTCTATATTTGTTGGAGCTATTCAAGTATGGTGCAAAAGGCCCAGAGCTCTCTGTCAGAGTGGAGCTTAAGAAGTCAAAAGGCTATGTGCCTGGGACACTGTGTAGAAATCTCCTTTAAAGAAAATTTCACACGTGTGTAATACATTTTGATTGTAGCCAGGTGCTCTCCTCTCCCCTTCCAACTCCTCCCAGACTCTCCTCCCCACTGCATTTCCCACCCAACTTCATGTCCTTTTTTTCTGTTAAGCACACTAAATCCACTTAGTGCTTCCAGTATGTGCATGAGTAGATGGACTAGAGTGTGCGGCAAGGGCTTCATCAAATCAAAATACGGCATGGAAGACATACTGAACCTTCCTTCTCTAGGAGTCAACAACTGTCAATAGCTTCTCTGCTAGGGATGGGGCTTCATGTACTCCTCCCATCCATGCTGAAATTGTGACTAGTTTGAGCTTATGCAGGTCTTGTGCAGGCAACCACAGCCACCATGAGTTCATGTGTGTGATTGGCCTGTCATGTCTGAAAAGCACTGCTTCTTAGTAATCCTGCTCCAACCTCTGGCTCTTGCAATCTTTTGTTTCCTTCTTTTTTAACGAACCTTGAGTCTTGGGGAGAGGGGTGGGCACTCACTTTGTCCAATTGTGCGTCTCTGTATTAACTATCATCCACTGCAGAAGGAGCTTCTCAGAGGAGGACTGAGAAGCTGAATAATTTATAGGTATAAAGATAAGTATTTAGAAGGCTATTTGAAACTATATCCCTTTAGTAAAGTAATAGAATTAGGTTTTCTCCTAGGGCCTATGACCCACTCAGCTATGGGTTTTCGGTTCACTTTACAGTGCCAGGCATGAGTTTCATCCTGTGGAACAGGCCTTAAATCCAAGCAGAGAGCACTCAATTACCTTCATAACATTCATGCCACTATTGCAGCAAAAGGCATATCTGATCCAGGCCCACCGTTAGCTCACGGGGTCACAGAAAGGTTGGTTGAACCAAAGCATGGTGGCATGATCCCAGCACTTGGGAGGCTGAGGCAAGAGAGTTGCTGAAAATTTGAAGCTAGTCTGATTTACATAGTGAGTTCAAGGCTAGCCATGGTTACATAGAGAAATCTTATCTCAAAAAACTAAGGAACCAAAAATAAAAAAAGATTAAGAATTAAAAGTCTTATATGATGCTGTCAATATTCTATAATTATTAGTAGTTATAAAAACTAAGTGAACATTTTCCTGAGATGAATGAACGTGTATATTCTTCACAGGCTTTCTAGTGAATGCTGATCTTGTTATCTGAACTTGGTAAATTTAGGCACTACAGAAGGAACTGTTTTAAAACATTCCAGCCAAATCTCTAATTTTGACTAATGATTTTATTTTTATTTCATTTGAAGTCATTTTTATTTTTAACTGAAAATAATATCCAATTTTAGATCACTGTCTTATAAGAAAGCCACATGGTACTGGAGAGATGACTCAGCAGTTAAGAGCATTGGCTGCTCTAACAGAGGACCTGGGTTTGATTCTCAGAACCCACGTGGTGGCTAACAACTGCCCACAACTCCAGTTCCAGGGGATCTGATGCCTTCTTCTGACCTCTTCCAGATTGCACGACAAGGGTACACCTACCTACATGCAAGCAATTCACTCATACACATAAAATAATACTAAATAAAAAAGAAAGCCACACGGAAGGAGTATCTAATTTCTGAAACATGGCTTATGTAAAAAGGAGTTTCTGTTTGGGGACAATTTTTGACATCATAAAAGGGTAAAATAAACTAATTTAAAATTGAGAGGGGAGAGAAAAAGTATTGAATGACCTGTTTCCTTTTAAAAATCAAATAATTCTGCTTCATAGTCATATATATTATTCAGGTTTGGAAATTAAAAGTCCATCACTCTAAAAGCTGCCAAAAGGAAAAAAAAAATCAGACTGAAAATAACTATAATGGAATTTGTATGGGGGAATTTTCTTAATCTACTAGTCTGATTTTGGATGTAAGAAAACTTCATAGTTTACAATTTTTTTTTCACTAAAGTTAGTTGCCTTTCACTAAAAATAAAAGATTTTTTTTTTAAAACAGCTATCTGTCTTTATGGAAGAAATTTGCCATGAGAAGGAAATTTCTGAAAAGTACGGACTTTCAGACTGCTGCCACCAAAGCGGGGAGGAAAGACATCAGTGTCTACTTGCGCGCAAGCAGACAGATCCAGCATCCATTCCACCCTTCCAGTTCCCAGAACCTGTCGCGAGTTGCAAAGCATATGAAGAAAACAGGGCGATGTTCATGAACAGGTAAGGAAATCGCATTCAGGGACACTAGGCAGGACTTAGTGTTTCTGCAGTTTACAGGTATACTCCAGAGGATGCAGAAGTAAGAAAAGCAGGTGGGGTGTGTCTGCTAAGGTCTGCACGAAGGAAGTGAGAAGAGCACTTTTCAAGCCTCCATTTTGAGCACAACCTGTAAGATGCAGAACAGACTACAGGCAGACCCAGACCTTGGTCCTTTAGCTTCAAGAGACATACCTGCGTTCTCCCTTTAATCTCCCAATTTTACCATGCCACAGAATATATTAGCACTGTCCCTGCTTATTCCTCAGATAAGTCTGAGTAGATTTAGTGAAAAAGACATTTTAATAAGAACTGTAGTGTTTCTATCTGTTTTCCTAATAGAAACTGGAACAATCTTTCTTTCCCCCTGAGGCTGTTAAGGAGGGAACTTTTTTGACAGTATCTGGGGCAAACCTGATCCTCTTCCAGTAAGAACACAGTAAAGAAAGGCCCAGGCATTTTGTTGTTCTTGCTGGTATCTGATTCTTTAGGCAAATGTCAGAGTCCAGTGCCAGGCACGTGTACTCTATCTGCTTTTAGGTTTGCAAACCTTGCAGCACTATCCATCTCACAGGTACATCTACGAGGTATCCAGAAGGCACCCCTTCATGTATGCTCCTGCCATTCTTGCCTTGGCTGCTCACTATGACAAAATAATTCCGTTTTGCTGCAAAGCTGAAAATGCAGAGGAATGCTTCCAGACCAAGGTAGTGTATTTCTGTGGCTATCTGAACCAAAATGTAGTCTGGCTATGACTCAGGAAAACAAAGTTTAAAATGGAAACATGCCTCAGTAAAGACTATCATTTTTGGAATAGAGCATAATTCTTCTTTTCCTAAATGAATATCCTTTTATTGGATTCATTTTGCATCTATAATCAGAAACAACATAAGAGTATGGTATAAATTTAGGTCAAGGTAAAAAAATAGGTGTTTTTGTGGCTTCATGAACTTCTTGTTTTCTTGAATCTCTAAAGAAAGCAGAACATCAATCTATGTGAAAGTGATGCTTTAATAACCACAGGTTCACAGAACAATGAAATTATGCCTCTTTTGCAGACTAAGACAATGACATGTTTAGCCACAATTTCTCATACAAACATGGGACAATATTCACAAACATCCTCATGGACAACAGACTATGATGAGCACGCAGCAAGTTCAGCCAAATCTAAACAAACTGAAGATTGATGGGGTTGTTCACAGCTTACACTCAGCATGTTTGCAAAGTGGAGCATGTTTCAGCAGTCTGGCCCTTGGGTTGTTTGTTTTGCTTTGCTTTTATGAGACAGAGTCTTGTCATATGGTCCTGACTGGCCTGATTTGTGGCTTGTACTTTAGCCTCCTGAATGCTGGGATGTTACAGGCATCTACCCTCATACTTGGCTTGGGTTTCTGTGAAAAAATACTTGATTTACTATTTTTCATGTATGCAATCACATATCGACTAGCAGTTACTATTAAGGAAGTGGGTAGGGTGGAAGGAGTAAGGAAAGAGAGGAAAAGGTGAGGATGTTAAGTTAAAATGGGAAAAACATGAGCAGACGGGGAGAGCAAAAGCCGAGAGCTGCGATCACGCTTCATATTCAATCTTTGGTTCTTGGAACAAGTGAGGTACTTTATTGTCATGTAACAAACTAGAGAGCTTAGGTTCAGACAAGTGAGTTGCTTTTCTGAGTCTGAGATCTAGACTAATATGCACAAGTACTACTTGCCACAAGCACTCCCAAGAATTTTCCAAAAACCTTGACTCTTTCCAGTACCAGACTGTGATACGATCTCACATTTTCTTTTTAAAAATTTTTACTTAATGATTTTATTTTTATTTTATGTGTATGAGTGTTTTGCCTGTATCTAAGTGCACCCATGTGGTGCAGTGCATGTAGACACCAGAAGAGGGCGTTGTATCTCCTGGAACTGGAGTTACAGACAGCTGTTAACCATCTTGTAGGTGCTGGGAACTGAACCTGGTCCTCTGTAAGAGCAGCCAGTTGTCAGAACTGCTGAGCCATCTCTCCAGTCCCCCATCTCAAGCTTTTTAATGGAGTAGAAATCAGCAGGCTTCCATCTGCTGGGAAGGCATGGATGCCCATTTAGGATCCCCAGTATCAAAATTTTGTTGCTTTTTTTTTTTTTTTGAAGCATTTCAAATAAGCCTCAAGCATAAATATTTATACATTTTATACATTAA